CCTGCACCCCCAGAAAACAAAAACTTCATTGCGGATTTGGGCTGTTCTGCTCAAGTGCAGAACAGCCATGTACTCAGAAAGATAACAAAACAAAGTGCAAGGCAGTGTGCCGACCAGTAGGCGGACCGCCTATGGGTCTCGATCCGTAGGCGTCGGCCGTAGGCGCTCAAGTTACCCTGGTTGAAGCCCTTTCTTTTTTTTTGGTTTGGTAGATCATTTTTTGGCAAAGGCTCCAACTAATGAGGTGAGGTTCACAGCCACCAATGGGCTTAGCTCAGTCGGTACACTACTACACACACAAACTGTCGCAACGCAGACCTGAGTTCGAATCCAGAAGGAACCAGATGAACAAAATTTCCTGAATCACCTTGGGCCAGTCAGTTTCACCATGATATCTCAAGGCTGTCGCCCTTTTAAAAAATAGAAAAAAAAGAGGTTCACAACTTCACAGACAAAAGAAAAAGAAGTAGGTTGACAGCCATGTTTACGGTGGGGTCATTAGTACCATAATAATGTCAATAGTGACTCAAAATACTAGTTACGAGTTCTTCTGTATGACTGCTTCTTGATGCTCCTCGCTGTCCTGACCAGAAGATGCAATTTGCCATGAATCTACGGTACCTGGCATGCCTGGCCATGCGAGGCAACCGGGCAAACCGCCTAGCACACACCTGGCCAGGTCACCCCGGGCAACACCAAGACGGGATTTTTTAATTTTATTTTTACCGGTCGGGGAAGCATTTCTGCACCAAATTATCCTGAATTCAGGATCTTCTTAGTTAAACCGCCTAGCACACACCTGGCCAGGTCACCCCGGGCAAGCTGGGGCAACACAAAGACAGGATTTGTTTTCTTTTTTGACCGGTCGGGGAGCATTTCTGTGCCAGATTATCCTGAATTCAGGATCTTCTCAGTTTTTCAGTGGTTTGATGTTGGGGGGATGAAAGGGGTTCAAATCCCTTTTTCCGCTTGTCAGCTTCCTTTGGTGCCTGGCGAAGAAAATATGGAATGTCGAAGCCACCCTCGGCCACAAGTTTTTTGTACCGCAATTCTACACAACACAGTTTTTTTCATACTTCTTTGGAGGTTCTGAACTCTCTTTTATATTGTGCTGGGACTGTCCGGGACCTGCCCCGAGACCTTGCCCAGGACCTGGTCCAGCTCGGCCATCTGGGCAGTCAGTGGCGGCCCCGCCGCCTGACGTGGTATCCCAGCCACAACTTTTTTTTCTTGTTTAATTTGAAAGGGGGGTTGCCCCTGAGATTATTGTATGAATCTGCTTCCATCAGAACTTGAACTCGTTGTCATTTCATCAACAGTACATGTGTGTAGTACTGTGTACCATTCGCCCACATGAACTGGGTGCTTGTCAGGCCTGTCACAGTGTCACTTCTTGAGGGAGGAAAATCCACCAGCTACAACACCAAACAGTCCTCTGACAAAAGGCTTCTACTCTTCTGGTTGCAGGACTCTTCATCCGCGACTCTTCTCGCGATTGTCAATGCTGTAGCGAGCGCAACCCTCCTTTTCCTCCGTTCTCACTGATCTATCGTTGTTCACGCTTCGATCTCTCGAGTCATTTGGGACATCCGTTGAAACTGGAATGATACAGAGAAGATTAGCATGACCCCTGCACATGGATGGCATGCTACCATCTTGGAGCCCAAAACCCTGCTACATGTACATGCACTGCTGTTT